AGAATAAATTATATGCTACGTTCGGTAAGTGTAACTTTTGGCTATAACCTATCTCATTCTTAAGACTTGTGGTTTCAAAGGATAAGATTTATAAGTTTAGTTACTAAGTTAGCTTGTTCTACGAGGTGTGCATCTTGCTAGTACTAGTAAGTTATTACTAGTGCTTTGTGCGGGATTTCTCTAAGGTAGCCTTGCTACTCACGCAATTGACTTGGAAGGGTAGTCCATTTAGGTGAACTAAGACATGTGGAGTAAGTTTCAAGAATTGAGGCACAAATTAGTGTCAACTCCAGTACTCACGGTGTCAGTTGGTTCAGAAGGCTATGTAGTGTATAGTGATGCCTCAAAGGAATGGTAGGGATGTATGTTGATGCAACATGGGAAGGTCAATGCCTATTCCTCCCATCGTGACCTTAAGCTAGCAGCAATTGTATTGACAATGAAAATTTGGAGGTATTATATGTTTTCTAGACCAAAAGAGTTTGAAGTACTTCTTCACCAATAATTAAGCATAATTATACATTAGAGAGATTGTTAAGACTACACAAAATGCCAATATCAATTGTGTGAGATTGAAACCCACGTTTTACATCAACCTTCTGGGCGACATTAAGAAAATATTGTGTACTCAACATAACTTCAATATTGTCTTCCACTTACAAACAAACAGATTGATTGATTGCTTATGTGTTGGACTTTTTTGGTAGTTGGGACTCTTGCACCTAGTAGAATTTGCCTACAGACAACTATTTGTATGGCTCCATTTAAGGTCTTATATGCAAAATGGTGCAAGTACTCACTATGCTGAGATAAAGTAAGTGAACTTGAATTGTTCGGACCAGAGTTGGTCCACGCAATTAATAAGGTCATGCAAAAGAACTTGACCAGAATACAAATGACCCAAAATAGATAGAAAAGCTATGTGTGACGTGAGTTATAGAAATCTGAAGTTCAAGGTAAGCAAGAAGGTATTCTTAAATGTGGTACCAATAAAGGGTGTTCTAAGATTTAGGTAGAAGGGTAAGTTGAGCCCATGCTTCATCAAGCTATTCGAGATCCTAAATCAGATTGGACGAATGGCATCTCGACTCACCCTATGATTATCCCTCTCTGCCGTGCATAACATGCTTCATGTTTGGATGCTTAGCAAGTATTTACCAACCTATCTTAATGTAAAATAAGAACCTTCATTTGAAGGGGCATCACTAATAAGTCTTTTCCATTTGTTTTTTTCTCTCTCTTTGATTGTACCAAATTGTTGTTATTATTTACTCCAACTGTATTAAGGATAAAGAATCAATTTTCTCTATTGTTTTAGGAGATCTCATCACGAATCCACCATAAAAAGGAGTGAAGAAGTGAAAAAAAAAAAAAAAAAAAAGGCCAAAAGTCATAAAATAGGGGTTTAAAGGGAGAAAATTGTAGAAGAGAAAGGAGATAAATTGGAGAAGAAATTAGGTAAGAAATTAGCCACGAAACCATGCTTTAGGTTCAAAATTTGAACTAAGCTCGGAACCTCAGCTTTGACAGTCCAACGACCTGACTAATACACCTACAACTGAAATGGAAACCGACCATTTCATGGTTTAAAAATGTCGAATCTCGTCTTAATCATCATTTGTCAGGTGTCTTTGGCCCATCAACTCACGATCCAATTTAGCCTAGAGTCAAGCCAGCATCAAGTGCAACCTAGCTTGCAAACGATCTAGACACCAAGTTTGCTTAAACTCTACGTGTAGTGTGTCACTGTCATACATCTTCAATCGTATGGTGTTATGATCTTGACACTCTCGCGATAAGTCTTAGGGGGAAGTCAAGCTCCATTCACATTTTTCCAACTTTGTGGCGTCATCAGACTTTCAGTGAGGTTTTTCTTCTTCTATTGAACATCACTTGTGCAGAATCCAAACTTGTTAGGCAACACATGTTGCCTGCACGTGCATATTTAATCATCTGTGACCCAACCGACTCACCTTTACACTAGGCTAAGTCATTCACTTCAACCTTGCCTCTACTCGGGGTCAAATTCTCTCAATGTAATGTCGCATCTTATTGTCATCTTGATTCTCAACAACGAAATCCATACATCGTGATGTCATCCCATGTCTCGAGATAGCTCTTCCATCTTGGAAATTAACCCATGTGTTTGACCATCTCATTGGAACATCCATCCATCTAGGTTTCATGGGGTGTTAGACATTCGTTCAAGATAGTAGGTGCATAATCCAACCTCTGACACATGGGCTAGGACGCAATACCGACACACCTATGTTATTTGGTACTCTCCTTGAAAGATTTTTTTCAAAAGAAGATGCTTGAGACGCTTGTCTAACGATGCTCGCCCACGTTGTGGCAAAATATGTACAACATGGTAGCTTGTTTAGGCCACAGGACCTAGGAATGGTGGAGAGCTGACACTATGTCCCCTCTAAAGTACATTTTGAGGCATTTCCAAACTAGCAGTTGTAAACATGATTTCAACGAAGGAACATACGGTGTTGTGGAGTGTTTGTCCTGTGTCCGATTGACACCAAATTTGGCGAGCTTTCTTATTTCATATGGATAGACTTGACTCCCAAACTGCATATCTAAATTCCCTTCAGAATCTCGACTTTCAAGGTTAAGGCTTGGGGCCCTACCTGACCCTTTAACAGGCTTATCTGTGACACTCTTGTCTACTCGTTGGCCCTATCTTTCTTATATCGCGTCTTCTCTTCATTGTCCACTCTGTATGGTGTATTGGATGATGTACCATCTTCCTCAGTCGCATAGGTGCATCATGAAACTCGTCTAGGCCTTCATATGGTCGGATGGACGCCACTTGAGGGTCACTATTTTGCTTGTCACAACTTACTACTCTTCATAGTTAGGTTGTGACATTCTCCCCCACTAAAACTAGTTATTGTCCTCGATGATTACTTGGGGGCACAATCACTCCATAGATTGTGACACTCTCCTCCACTTAATCACAACATCATCCTCGATGGCAATCTGACTTTAAACTTGCTGTTGACAAACTCATTGGAAATATGTGCTTCAAAATGAATAGGGAAACTATGAACTACTTAAGAGTTATCCCATTGATAGACTGTCCCTCGGTCTCCTAGACTCGCAACATAAGCATGGCAAAACAACTGCACTATGGTTGTGGGTTATTCCCTCTAGGGCCTCCCTCGCCCTTCTTCGAACTCGACTCATGACACACTAGACAAACTACAACAAACTAACTAGCTTTGGCATATCCTCGCCTAGGCTAGGGGAGCGCACCCCAAACTTGGCCACCATAGCCTCGCTCGTCGTATTCTCTGAGTCGCACACAATAGTGCACCACTCAGGATGAGGCTTGTAAGCCAACCACAATATTTACTCATCGTGGAATAACCCTCATAGTAGTGATGTTTGAAAGCTTATAACACAACCTCGTGCTGGCACTACACTTCAACCAACTCTTCAACTGACCACCTTCATGTGACAATCGTTGCCTTGATACTTCTCTGGTCTTCCTACAGCTTCACTTCTCTTTGCCCCTATCTTGCTTATGTCTTGTCTTCTCTTCAATGCCCTACTATGTGTGGTGTATTGGATGATGCACCGTTCTCCCCAATCGCATCATGACATTCGTTTAGACCCTCGCATGCTCGAATGGGCACCACTTGAGGGTCGGTGTTTTGCTTGTCGCAACGTGAAGATCACAACCAAATCTTTTCATAGTTAGGTTGTGCCACAATGCACATGAATTAGTTCATCCACTCTCCTAGTCATGGCTTGTGCTTCGGCTCCGTCCTTACAATCGGCTTGTGCTCGATTCGACAGCTTCCCTCAACTTAGCTGGGCTAAAAAGACTCTGTTTTGTATTGTGGGCTCAATTTTTATGCATTTGGAAGCGTTTGAGGTCAATAAGGAGACTATTTAGTCAATTTAAAATGTGTCATTTTTGAATTAAATAGGGAGTTGGGTGAGATATTAGGTTCATTAATGTGTGCTAATTGTGACGTTGTGGAACTCCATAGTTGGAATTGGACTTCGACAAGCAAGGTCAGGCTAACACGTAGTATGTGAGTTATCTGTGTTCTTTTTTGTATTATTATATGTTTATGACAAAGGAGATGAAAGCCAACGAAAGGGATCATGAGGGCAACGCCTGAAGGAAAATGGGTCGAGAACGGCGACCACACAAGTTATAGTTGTCTTTGTGAGGAGAGCCGAGTCAAAGTTGGCTTTTATATCTCAATTCATTCGTAGCTAAGTTTTTTTTTGGTTGTTACAAGTCAAAATTAATAACTTAACGGCTACCTATGTCTGCCCGCTTTGTACTCGACCATCTTGTTACTCTTTGGAATTCCTATTTTTATCCCCAATTAGAATCCAGCAAAAAAAAATGTTCAAAAAAATCAGGAACCTCTCCTCCTCTAGGCTCTTCTTTCACATCAAAAGTGTGTAGCATCAGATTGTCCCAGTCACTCTTTATGAAGCTAGACCCAATAATCAGCCCTTTGATGCTTCTCTTTCTTTCTTTGTAGATGTAGATCATCTTCCTGCCGTCTTACTTGCATAAAAATTAATCGCTTTCTTTTTTATAATTTTCTTTACAAAGTACACTCGATCCATTCGTTTTACTCCGAAGATCCTAATGCCAACTGCAAGATAACATTAGAAGCGTCTATCGTTGAATATGTGACAACACAAATATATATTTTTAAGTATACATCAAATATATTATAGAGAATAATAAGAAAAAAACCTAACATTTAAAAACAAAAAACTAAATTATTATTAAATCCAACTTAGAAAAGGTGCCCTAAGCTCTACAAATATTATGAACGAACTTTTTTTTCTCTTTTTTTGGAGACAAAAGAAAGTGACATGAATAACAAATTAGGCTTTAGAGCCATCCAGCTGTGTATGACATGATAACCAAGCAAAGTGTACCATGAAAGATGATAGAAAAGTTAAGAAATGTTTCAAACATTTTCAACATTTTACCAAATCCAAATCCAATCTGGATCTTCATGTCCCTCCTTCCAACCTTATTTAAACTTCCCCCTCCCGCTCCCCTCTTACTCCTCACCTCTCTCTCTCTCTCTCTCTCTCTTCCTCAGATGACTTGGGTTAATTTAAGCCGTTTCTTGTGGTTTTAATTGATGGATTTGTTGGTGGGTTTCAATATTTTGAATTAGATTGTACAAAGGAATGAAGTTAATTTATTAGCTTATATGGAGTAAATTAAGATGTGGGTTTCATAAGTATTGTGTATTGTGTTTATGTGCAGAAAAAGAAGGAGCTCTCTTCAGTTCATCCCGAGACAGTAGAGGCTCAAAAGGTTGCTGCTCATTCGTTAGTTCAATAGCTTATTATACTCAAAATTTCCACCGTTGAGATGCCGAAGCTGTGAGATGAGCTCCTGATCTAACGATGGAGGAGCGGTCTTTGATCATCACTGTCATGTATTGGACTGAAGGGAGCTCCTCCTTAATTTACTTTTCACACGCATACTACAACTAACTCATCCTTTGTCGAGAATGATTCAGTAAGTAATAGTTAAAAAGCTTGTTTTTTTAACTTTTTACAATGACCCTTAATTTGTATAGGAATATCTCTCTGTTAAATTTGTGTGGTTTGATAGAGATTTGAAGAGAGCAGAAGCAGTTAAGGAGGGTAGCTTTCTCAGGGTCCAAAGCTTTGGGTGATGTGTTGCAACTTTGTGAATCTTCCTTTTAACACTAATTCTCTTTGTGGTCTTACTATCATTATTTTTTTTTCTTTTTAATTCAAATATTGTTGAAATTAAATAATAATTTAAATTTTATTTGTTTAGCTATAAACATTAATATACTTTATGCATTAAAATTTTAAATTTAGATGTGAAAATGAACTCATTGGTTAAAATGTTACTATAATTTTTTATTTAGAACTAAAAGCATTATTTGTAATAATTGTCTATTAATTGATCCTTGAATAAATTGACAATAGTTGGATTCCCAAAAAAAAAAAAAAAAAATCCTAATCATTGTTGTTTTTTTTTTTCATAATTGTTAAAGGTATTATTGTCTCACCAAAATTTTGAAATAATTTTCAAAAAAATCATAAGAATTAAATTAATGATAAATTATATTTATAAATTATATTGAAGGCTTGGAGGGTGAATTTCAAGTTTTTTCAATTTCTGAATTTTTTGATTTAGGAAGGAAGAATAGAAGGTAAGCATTTTAGGTTCTTGATTTAGATTTTACTTCAAATTTGAGAGCTTTTCCTAGAATTAAGGTCTAAATTTTTAATATGTTTCTTACAGGAGGATTTCGCACAAGTTTTATGATAGATGTTGAAGTTGATTCGGACTCATAGACATAGTTTTAGTGAATCCCAAAAAATGGTAAGAAGATTACTTTTAGCCGACTTTCAACTCCTTTATTTCTAGTTTGTGGTCAACTAAAAAAATCCAAGAAAAATATTGTAGTAAAGATGGATTAGACTTCTACAATTTTCATGAAAAATCATTTTGATCTCAATTACTTAGGGAATGATACAAAAATTAAAAAAATATTGGAAGGAAAACGTTTGAATGTAAGTGAAGGAGATGAACCAAATGATGACACATATCACGAAGAGAGGAGCAAAGCCCCTCGACCTCCGCCAAAGACATGCGTTAAATTATGAGATGCACAATGCGTCACAATGTTAGCGACAAACCCAAATGAACCGATCTGACTCGCTCACTCGACTTGAGAGCTAAGGTGCGACTTGGTTTAGCGCTGGCATACCAAACCACTTGTCTGACCTGACCCACTTGTCTACCTGGAAAATTGCGTGAAATCCTATGTAGCGAAAGATTGACATGTCACGTATTGCCCAGCTAGTGCGACTTCTCCTCCCTAGGGCATGTGGTACTTGCATGTGAGGGTTGTGCATGGGCCACCATCTATGCTCATGTAAGAGCGTGTAGGCGTGTGAGTGACCCCTTTTTGTTTATTTCGACATCCATTCATAATTTTTTTTTTATTATGATTTCATCACCAACTCTTATTTTACTTGAATTAGGATTTACGAGAGAAATTTCATAAATTTTGAAACTCCTAACACTTGGAAAAGCTAGCTCGAGAAGGCATGTGTCCAAAAGTAGAGTTATACAAAGCCTCTTGGTAGTTAAATTTGTACTCATACTCACCACTTTCTCATTAATTCTCCATTTATTCTAATTAGTAAGCATGAAATAGTCTATTGTGGGTAACATTAAAAGAAGATCAATTTGCATAAATCGAACATAATTGTATATTTAATTGAGTTATTTAGTAAAATTTTATAACATTTATGTTGAACCATAATACTGTAGCAAATTTAAAAACAACCTTGTTGTTGATCTTCATATTGAAGCAATTTGGAAAACAAAATTGTGAGGTATGACATGAAAATTATAATCCAAATCAACAAGCCATGTGTTATACCATTAGGAACTTCCTACGTGAACGGGCTTCTTTTGAGCCTTAAATAGGAAGCAATTAAGAATATAAAAGGGAAAAAAATTCACTAAAAGAAAGGGAGCCACCAAAGGGGAAAACAGAAAAGACACAGTCAGCTGCACTAAAACTAGAGGGCAGGAGGAAGAAGAACCCTAATTTAACAACGGTCGGCAACAAAAGAAAAGAAAACAAAAAAGAATAGATTAGGGCATCCACCTAAATAGGTGGATGAGAGAGCTCAAAAAAGGGAACTTTCATTGAACAACAACATAGCTTGATAACTCCGTGATCTTTTACTTTCTTTTTTTATTCTATCAATTTTACATGATTAAGATGAAAGTTTCTCTATTTAATTCCGTTTGTATGAAGAGCTAAACCTTATAGGGGAGGCGGGAGAGTTTTATGTAGTTTAAGCATGTTGTCGGTGTGGTTTTAGGTTATTAAAGAGTTGTTACTAATGATTTACATGTTTGTTTAGTTGATCACTTTACATATATATAGTTGTTCTCTTATTTTGAAGAAGAGAGGAAGGAAGAAAATTCTCTTTAATACTCTAATTCTATTACAAAGATATAAGAAGGTAATTAAAGGGTTAAGAATAATTTTCTTTTAGAGTCTTGTTAATAGAAATAACATAGAGGAGAAAGTGGGCTTGGGAATCTATTAAAAGGAGCTAAAATCCATGTAATAGATTCCCAAACATTACTTTTATGGTTGATTTTCTAGTTACTCTCTGTTTTTCGAAAGCAATTGACACTTCACGCATATTTTTTTTTTAAATAGTTTAAACTCACCAACTCCCATTTGAATGATACCAAAAACTCAATTAATGTCCAGCAACAAAAGTAACCGAAAACAAAAAGTTCTCTATGGAATCAATAATTTACTTATTACTTGCTACTTGTGATAATATATACTTGCATTTATCTTTGTGAATTTTACACCATTTTACTGAATACATTCACGAGTGATTAACACGTCATCCATGTAAATAACCACACGAATTTTAGGAAGTAATGCTAGTAGGGATCGTTTTGAATTGTATGCATGCTAGTAAAACCAAATCTTAGGTGTTTAGATTCGGTATGACCTAAGTCTAGGACGATTGGATAAATATGAGAATAGTCACACTAAGTATTGAGATTACTAAATTACTCACCGCATGATGTAATGGGTTATTTACTACTGCCTCGTAATCGTACTAATATAGTGAATGAGAATCTGAGTATTTATGCTTTAGGTGCTTGATGGTTGTTATCGCCCCGTTGAGCTTTTGTGACTCAATGCATGATTAACTGTACATCAAATCTAGGCGATTTAAGATGTGACTCTTTTTGTAGAGAATTAGTAGCAATTTTTTGAGACTAGGATGACTGCGTGAGTTTGGCTAAGCCACGACCTAGGATAGAATGCCTCTAGTAGTCTGAGCACAATAGAATCGTGAGAGACGACTAGAGGGTGAGACCCCTAGTACCTCTTACTAATCTTTACTTTGGGAGTTAAAACTAAGAAGTTAGGAGACATGAATTCATGTCAAGACTGCCAAATCATCCTTAAAGACCTAGAAGACCACCATGAAAACCTTGAAAAACAAAAACAGCGTCTTAGGCCAATAACAATTACGGTGTTTGCGAAGCTTCCACCTACCTTTCCACTTTGATAGGGTGCTATTGAGCTAGATGTGAGGCCAATTAAGGACATGTGACTTGATAGTTTGTTGGATTATCTTGCACAGTGGATTTTTTTTATGGGAGGGTGTTGATCAGCAGGTTGTTAGTGATTATCTTACACAGTGGATCTATCTTGTGGGAAAGCGTTGATCATGCGGGTAGTAAGTGATTACCTTGTACGGTGGATCCATTGTGGGAAATCATTGATCATGCGGGTACTTGGTGGAGTTGGCACGTACAGGGGTAGCTCAACCAACCTTGGGCAGCAACATGGCATGTGGGATGAGTTTGCAAGCTACCTCTCATTGATGACGAGCATATTGACACTCTTCATCTTGTCCCCACCTATTAGAAAGAGTTCTTTGAGGTGATGCCTCAACGCTGGACATCGATTACCGCTGCATAGGAAAAGCTAGCTACCCAAGAATGTGCAAAGCAAGAGCAACACACCTATAAAGTCTATGGGTCTTTTGCTAGGTCAAGGATGCGATGAGAGACTACAAATAGGTATTTTACTCGGTATACTTATATACTCACTCCCTTTCCCTTTCTCATTCTTTTTTTTTCAAGTGTCAATCCAAGGGGAAGAGTGTTCGAAAGCTATGTGGTCACAAAGAGGGTTGTTCTAGAGCATCAATCCATTTTTATATTTTTTAGTCTTTTGTATATTGTTTTGTAAATGTATGCCAAATCGATTTTCTCCATTTATAATAAATTTGAAAACGCGTCTTCTAATTGAAATTTACTTTTTTATTTTACCGTGGTGTCGTTAATCGTAATTGATTTTAAATTACCACATCTCTTATTTTTATTTCACAAATACTCTATAATTTTAAATGATGTTTTATGTTTTAAATTAAATGTACAATTGACTAAAGTTGTAAAACTTAAATTTCAAGACTCTTGATATTCTCCAAAGTTGCAAAAATTCTTTTAATCATTAATGAAAATAGAGAAAACATTTTGTATTCTAACCTCTTAAATCATACTTTATGATTAAGATTAAAATTATAACATATTAATGATGTGCTGAGAACTCACCTATTGCAGATCTATGGACCAAGTTTTAACATAGTATAAATATGATCATTTGAATTTGGTTTCTAGTTTATTTATGCAACACAAATACAAACAGTAATGTCTAAATTTTCTAATCCTATTTTGAGTTACTACTACAGGTGTAGCCTGATCTTTTCTTGCAAAAATTTTAAACCACCAAATTTTTTATTTATAGGAGGAACATAAGAAGACGGGTGATCGCTTGTGGATGTATATAATAAAATGATGTAAAATTCATAAGAATAATTGCAAGTATACACTGTCACAAATAGCAAGTAATAAGTAAATTATCGATTTCACAGGAAACCTACATTTTTTGTTAATTTTATCACTGGAATTTAAGTGAGTTTTTGGGTAACATTCAAATGGGTGTCGGTGATTTTAACTACTTGAACAAAACTAAAACAGAGTGCCACTACTGTCGAAAAACAGAAAATGATGAGAAAATCAATTATAATGAGGAACGACTAAGAGACGGAAAACCTGAACCTCGGCTTCTCTTCTGAACCTCTCCAACTCGGAATGGTGTTGAACTATCTCTATTAAATAGATAAGTTGTTGAGTTTTGTAGTAGATTTTAGTTCCTTTTAATAGATTCTCAAGCCCACTTTCGAGGGTTAGTGATTATTTCCATAATCATTCTAATTTCTATTAACAAGGCTCTAGTAGAAGAATTATTCATGACCCTTCTATTACCTTTCAATTCTCCTCGTATGTAACTAGAGTATGAAAGAGGATTTCATTGCTCCCTCTTTCTCCAGAATAAGAGAACAACTATGTACGTAAAATAACTAATTAAACATACATGTAAATCATTAACAACAACTCTTTAATAAACTAAAATCATACCGTCAACATACTTAAACTATATAAAACTCTCTCGTCTCCCCTATTAAGTTTAGCTCTCTATATAAACTGAATTAAACAAAGGAATCCACATCTTCATCATGTAAAATTGATGGAATAAGGAAAGAGAATAAGGAAATAAAGAGTCATCCTGGTTTGTTGTCATTCGTCAATGGAAGTTCCCTTCTCTTGAGCTCTTACGTCCACCTCTTTGCCCTAATCAATTCTTGTTGGTCTTCTTTTCCTTCTGCTCTCAACAGCTGCTGGATTAGGGTTTTCTTCTTCTTCTCTGGTTTCACAGCAGTTCACTGCAGCAGAGGCTGATGCGTAATTCGATTTTTTTTCCCAAAGTGTGGCTCTCCTCCTCTTGGTCTTCCTTTTCCTTTTATATTGAGCATGAGGTCCCTTTAGGGTTGAAAATGAATAAATTGTTCACTTCCTCATTGGGGTTCACTTCCTCATTGGGCCTTTAGGGTTGAAAAGGAATAAGTTATTCACATAGGAGGTTGCTCATTGGGTAATCAATGACCCACTTGGATTGCTTAGGTGGATTTAAAATTTTCATGTCATCCCCCATTTATTTCCAGATTTGCTACTACCTCCTAGTTCAACATAAATGTCTGAAATTTTACCACATAACTCAATTAAATGTACAATTAAGATCGATTTATGCAAAATCATATTTTTTTCATGTTGGACCGCAATAAACGATTTCATACTCACGAAGTAGAATAAATGGGATAAATAATGAGAAAATGGTGAATACGAGTGCCATATTAAATACAAAAAGACTTGATATGACTCTACTTTTAAAGGGTTATCAACGGGCTTGTTTTAAATTTTGGGATCTCAAGAAAAAACTTTAAAACATTAAAATGAATCTTTTTAATTCAACGTATTAGATTCTGTTCACACATGTTTAATTGCTTACCATTGTAAAATTACACTATCAACACAATCAACACTT